GGTGGGCGGAGCTACTGATCACTGCTGCGCTTCTCAAGTGCGTTTGCCGATTCCTTTCTTCCTTTCTTTGTGAGAATCCTTCTGAGACTAGGCTGGCACTTTATCCATGATATATTGGGCACAAACATGAATGCAAACAGACTCACAAAGTGATGGTTGACTATACAGCAGACACATTACAAACGCCTATATATCTTTGTCTATGCGAATATGTTGACCCTGTGACCTTGTTTTTAATAAAACAAATGTGATCATCAAATAAATAAAAAAATTATTTACTTTATTAATCCACTGAACCAGGGCAGTAACTGGATATAATTATATTTTCCAATGTTTTTTGTTTATTATATGCATTGATTTAGTGTAATTGTGTCTAGCCTCGACTTAGTGTAATTGTGTTCAGCTGCAGCAGTAAAGTGAACTTAACTTAATCCACCAGACTGTGGTTTCATTATGTTACTCAGTTATGCTTTGGGTGACGCTGAACCAGGACATTAATAGGACAGAACAGAAAGCCTTTATTGTCATTGTACAGGGAGGAAACACAGGAAATAGGCAAAAATATATAACATGTACACATACAGGGGAGGGGGAAAGGCCCCCCAATCATCGGGATTACAATTAGTTACATTTTAGTCAGAGAGAAAAACTGTTATTTTTCATGTTTATTCAGCTCGCTGAACACAGGCATTTATTTTTGTCAAACATACATTTCAGAGTAAAAAGGGTTATATGGGTTAAAAAGCAGACATTTACCAAAGAGAACAAGCAACATGTCACATTGTGATATAGTAAAAATGATTCCTCCAGGACACAGTGAGCTATCCCAGCATGCACAGGGACACTGAGGAGTTTTCAGAAATCCAAAAAGCTGGACAGAGAGGTTCAGTGAATGAGGAGATGACCCTGCGCAGGAGGATCAGTCCATCAGAGGAGACTCTGTAGAAGGTCAGAGCACCAGCCTCCCAGTCCAGATACACTCCTACTCTGCGGGAGCCTGAGGGCCGTATGAGTATGAGAGTTGGTTTCATACTGTGCCAGACAGAGTAACTGTCACTAGAGCAGCTCAGACTCCATGACTTGTAATTATCTCCAAGCCCACAGTCAGCACTGTCTCCTTTCCTCCCGATTCCTTTATAAGTCACTCCTATCAAGGTATTATCTCCTATCCGGGCTTGATCTCCATCCCACTCAGCCTCCCAGTAACAGCGGCCAGTCAGATTCTCTCTGCAGAGAACTTGTTCCCACCAGTCAAATCTCTCTGGATGATCAGGATATGGCTGCTCTGCCCCCCATGTCACCTTCTTGTTCCCGCCTGACATTGACAGGAATCTGTGTGCTGTGTTGGGGTCCAGTGTCAGCTGGCAGGAGTCTGTAGGCAAGAGGAAGAGCCATTAATACCATCAAAAAGACCAGCATCTCGCTCATCTAATCACTGTCACATCTCACATACTCACTAACGAAGAACTTGCTCCAATACACACATTTATCCCAGTATACTCTTGTTCCTGGGTTCCATTTTCCACTTCTCTAATCTGTGGCACTTCTGTTTGTAAGAGTGTGTGTGATCATTAAACCATGGGGAGCATCTGGTGGTTTTGGCAAGTTCATTTATCAAAGGAGCCATTTCATCCAAAACCTGACTATCCACTGTATTGAAGTCACATGTGACTTCGTTGATATCTGTACTAGACATGAAGTTCACATTACTTATTGCATTAATAAATTTTAGGGAATTTGTACCATTTAGGTGATGTGTCTCCGCTGTAGTCAAGGAGGGTGGCTGAATCACGAGGGTGATTAGAAAAGAGTCAGAGAAGGACTTATTCAATGGATATGATGAACATAAACTCTGTGAGTGATAATCAGGTCAAGTGTATGGTTGTGCATGTGTTGGTCCCGTTACGTGCTTATAACATCCAATAGAATCCAGGAGGGACAAGAAGGAATCTTTTGCTGTATGCTTCTCTTCTATGTGAGCGAAGTGGAGCCGCGAGAATTTCCGCTCATCGTTCACTGAGCAGTATGCTCCCCCGCTCACAGTAGCTCTGGTCAATTTTCACCCCGCTCCAATGAGATCGCTCACCGCTCGCGCCAAAATCCTTCTGCTCCCGCACCTCTCACATGCTCTGGTCCACATGTACAGTATATTGAAATCTCCAAGTATGATAAAATTCTCTACGTTAATGACTAAGTCAGTAAGAAGTTCCCCAAATTTAGTCAGAAACAAAGTGTATGGTCCAGGTGGTCTGTATACTATAAGAATATAGATGGGTGGGTCAGACGCCATTTGAAGTAGCATTGCTTCAAATGTTGTAAAATATTCTATAATTCTGGGTTTGATTTTTAACAGTACGGTAAAAATATTTTTTTTTAACAGTAAGTTAAAAATAGCTGCCAGGCTGCCTCCACGCTCAGAGCCACGTGGTTTCTGTATGAAACTAAACACATGAGTGGCCTGTACTACGAAGGGGGTTTAACAAAATCAGATTTAACCCGGAGGTAATTTGCAAACACGGGGTTGACAAAATCAGGTTGTCTCAATCGGTGCTAATCAGTACTACGACACCAGTTAAGAAGTTGATTTGTTAAATCGGTGTTAACTGCATTGGAGTTTGTGCGCGTTCACATAAATGGAGCACGTTCGGCAGCGCAAGGCACCGTTTGACTCATGGCGCGGTCTCCATGTTTCACGGAGGAAGACTGCATGCTAATTATGCAGGGTTATGAGGAGCTTAAATCAACACTGCAAAGAAAGTCCAATACCACTGCAGCCAACAAAAGCAGGCAGGCTTGTTGGCAACGTGTTGCCGAGGGAGAAAATGCATACGTACATTTTCATGGTAATAAAACGTGGTCTAAAATATCTCACGACTGAGTATTAGACTATGAAGTGTTTTCTGAAAAGAATTGAAATATTGTTAATAAATACAGAGGCTCACAGATGCGACACAATTCAGAAGTCACCTATTATTTGCTGTTAAGTAATGTAATACTCCCTAAAGTTCCATTACTGAGATGTTACTCATGATGTAAACCTAATGTTAACAATAACTTAACTGATCCGATTTCAAATGCAATAGTAGTGGAAAGCGTACGTGGCAGCAAGTCAAGATTAAATATAAAAACATCATGTCAAGTGGTTGGGCTATGTATTTATATTCCTACTCATTATGAAAGATTTGTTGTGTCTAGCCTCGACTTAATAGTGTGTTTCTATGTTTTACAGCTAATAAGAAAAAGATGTCTGTTCATATTACACTTAATAGAAGGTGAGCCATTGTTTAACAAACAAATGATTTACAACAGGACAAAACACATGCATATGTGTAGTGAGAAAATGACTAGTAACCTGTCACCGCGGTTAAGTTAGCCGATATTCAGTTTTCTGGCTTTAATAACTTTAAACGGAAGGTGGGCGTTTTTTATGACAGAATTGTGATGTCCAGTACACAGACCTCGATGCACACCGATTATTTTTGCGCTTCAAACCATTTCATGATTTGTGCCAAATCGTGTTAATAGCTAATATAATCGGTCCTGTCAGCTGTAATGACATGGTGGTTTAGCATTTTGGGCTCATGGCGACTGTTGCACTGTTTCCCAGATTGCTTTACGTACAAATTTTTATTAATTTTTGAATGTTCAAATGTATCCGAATAATGTGCAATGGGACAATACATGAATGGGTTAATAACTTTAAAACTAGACAAGACACATCCAGTGGAGTGTGCTTTGATCAGTGGACAACAGGGAACAATGCACACCCCTTGGGTTTTCAGAATAACTTTCTCTAACAATTATTAATTAATACATTGTATGCATATTATATGCCATTGCTCCATTTCATACATATTGTCAGACCCGCTAATGTCGTACGGATCATCCAGGTACGCCGGCATTGTCTTCGGAGAAATTGTAGTTGGAGGGGCGGTGCTCATATAGGGCTGGCTTACGTGGAAACCTCGCCTTAACCAAGAACAAAAACTGCTCGGAGCAGGTTTAAGACTTGGCGTAAATTGCCATAGCAGCATGTCTCGAGTAAAACCTACCCACCTTTCGTAGTACGGGTTAATCGCGAAATTACACCACACATCATCAAATTACTCGCAAAGTTACCCCAATAAGCCAGTAACCCCGCTTCGTAGTACAGGCCACAGGTGAGGCATCAACAAAAGGTATAGTGTCTGTGGGTCTGAGCCAGGTTTCTGTTAATAAGCACAGGTCTGCACCAATGTCAAGAACCATGTCACTTTCAAGAAGTGATTTACTTCCTAAAGATTCCTAAACATTCAATAGTGGGCATTTTATGGTGGGTTTATGTTGTGACTCATTCAATCTTATTAATGGGTTTGATATTAAGTGATATTAATCTGCACAGGAGCCCACACTGGCAAGAGTGGGACATGGAAGCATCAACGTACACACCGAGGTCTTTCTCATAATCAGCTACCTTTATTTCAGTGGAACCCATAAAAAATCTGTACTTTATATTTCTGCTCCCTGCATGGATTACCTTACATTTATCTGTGTTAAATTTCATCTGCCGGGTATCAGCCCAGTCGCTAATTAAATGAAGATCCCGTTGTAGCCTTTGTGCTGCTAGTTCAGTACTGCTACACCGTCCACCTTGGTTAACCAGTTTACTGTATGTATTTGTGTCAATATCATTAATGAAAATTAGGAACAATAGTGGTCCTAAAATTGAACCCTGCGGTACCCCACTATAAACACAGGCCCACTGTGACATTGTGTCTCTAATAACTACCCGCTGCTTCCTGTCTGTTAACCAGTTTTCTATTCAAGCTGCTACAGCTCCTACAATCCCTGCTGCTTTGAGCTTAAGCAAGAGCCGTTTGTGGGGGACAACATCAAAGGCCTTCTGAAAATCTAAGTAGATCACATCATAGGCCTTTTTGTGATCAATTTCTCTAGCTTTCTCAAAGAACTCAAGTAGATTAGTTAAACAGGATGTACCTCTCCTAAATCCACGTTGGCTATCCCTCAGAATGTTATTTGAAATATGCAAACACACTTACATTTCTGTAAGCCTGGTCTGGTCCTGCACTCTCCACTGTGGTTCACACTATAGGAGAAGCAGAATGACATAGTACTGCTGTACCCATTTATTTTTTAGTGCCTCTTCTTCACATACATACATAAGTATCTGTAGCGTGTTAGAAACACACTCTGTACTCACTTCAACTTCTCCAGTTTACAGCTGGGATCCTCCAGTACAGCAGAGAGCAGCTTCACTCCTGAGTCTCCTGGGTGATTGTAGCTCAGATCCAGCTCTCTCAGGTGTGAGGGGTTTGACCTCAGAGCTAAAGCCAGGGAAGAACAGCCTCTCTCTGTGACTCTACAGCCTGACAGCCTGCAGAGAGACAGACAGAAACTTTCTAATAAATAAGATCACCTCAACATTACACTTATTACTTTATTAATTATTAATTATTTCAATGCAGTTTACAGCATGGAATACCCCGTAATACTTACCTCAGTATCCCCAGTTTACAGTGTGGGATACCCAGTAATACTGACCTCAGTATCCCCAGTTTACAGTGTGAATCCCCCAGTCCAGCAGAGACCAGCTTCACTCCTGAATCCTGCAGGTCATTGTCACTCAGGTCCAGCTCTCTCAGGGGTGAGGAGTTTGACCTGAGAACTGAAGCCAGCGCCTCACAGCATTTCTCTGTGAGTTCACACCGGTCCACCCTTAAAAAAAAATTAAACACTTTTAAATTCACTTTTAGTACCGGTGTTCGATGTAATGCAAATGAGTAGAATAGGAGCCATTATAGAACAGATTTTTTAAAAAACAACGTATTTAGTAAAACACCATTTTAACAATAATCCCGATTCTGATTCTGTCTGATTGCTCAGCTGTCGCTGAGGTGGTTAAAAAGCTCCTCAGTGGCTGGGCCCCAGGGGTGGATGAGATCCGCCCGGAGTTCCTCAAGGCTCTGGTTGATGCAGGGCTGTCTTAGATGACACGCATCTGCAGCATCGCGTGTACATCGGATTGAAAGACCGGTGTGGTGGTTCCCCTCTTCAAGAAGGGGGACCGGAGGGTGTGCTCCAACTATAGGGGGATCAAACTCCTCAGCCTCTGAGGTCTACTCACTGGTACTGGAGAGGAGGGTCCGTCGGATTGTCGAACCTCAGATTCAGGAGAAGCAGTGTGGTTTTCGCCCTGGCTGTGGAACAGTGGACCAGCTCTATACTCTCAGCTGGGTCTTGGAGGGTGCGTGGGAGTTTGCTCAACCAGTCTACATGTGCTTTGTGGACTTGGAGAAGGCATTCGACCATGTCCCTTAGGGGGTCCTGTGGGGAGTGCTCCAGGAGTATGGGTTGCCGGGCTTCTTTATAGGGGTGGTTCGGTCCCTGGATGACCGATGTCAGAGCACATGGAGTGCTCTCTCCACATCGGGGAGGTTGTCCTTCCCCAAGTGAAGGAGTTTAAGTATCTCGTTGTCTTGTTCACGTGTGAGGGAAGGATGGAGCGGGAGAAAGGCAGGCGGATCGGTGCGGCGTCAGCAGTGATGCAGGCACTGCATCGGTCAGTCATGGTGAAGAAGGAGCTGAGCCAAAAGGCAAAGCTCTCGATTTACCAGTCGATCTACGTTCCTACCCTCACCTATGATCACGAGCTGTGTGTAATGACCGAAAGAATGAGGTTGTGAATACAAGCGGCCGAAATGGGTTTCCTCCACAGGGTGGCTGGGCTTTCCCTTAAACATAGGGTGAGGGCTGATAAGTTTGTAGGATATAAGGAAGTAGGAGAAGAAAAAAAGTTGTTTGTGTTTGTTTATTATGTAACTGGTGAAACGCATTGTGGGTTTTATTGGTGTCCGGTTTCTTTTTTGTAAAATGCATATTCTATACTCACTTCAGCTTCTCCAGTTTACAGCTGGGATCCTCCAGTACAGCAGAGAGCAGCTTCACCGCTGAGTCTCCTGGGTGATTGTAGCTCAGATCCAGCTCTCTCAGATGAGAGGGGTTTGACCTCAGAGCTGAAACCAGTGACGAACAGCCTTCTTCTGTGATTCTACAGCCTGACAGCCTGCAGAAAGGAAATCAAAAATATTGTTTTCTACAGCCGTCGTCTATTTGCATGTAATTAGCTGTATAAAGTGACGGAAAGACCAGCAGCAATGGTCGGCTCTTAGGGGTTTAGTGGCTGCTTGTCTGCAAAGATATAACTCTAACAGAGTGATCCTACACTACTCACTGAAGCTTACCTTTTAATCTCACATTCCTGAAGTTACTGTGAATTAACGGCCATAAACGAGCATTTCATTTCCAAACCAAACCATCATGAGGATGGTGCACCTGTGACCCAGAGACACCGGCTGCTCCACATTACCCTGCCTTCTGCTCTTTTTGTTCCGTTTTCTCTCCTGCTGCCTTGCCTGGGAACAGAGAGCAGGTGTCTCCCTCATGTCGGCAGTCTCTCACACCCAGGAGACGCCGACTCAGAGTGAGGACATCGGCAGCCGCCACCAGCCTCCCCGATCTTTCTTCTTCTTGCTGTCATTTTTATTTTTTTAAAAAGCCTGCCTCACTGAAGCTTCAGTCAAGTCACCCGCCACTGCCTGCATGTCCTTAAACTCACACTGTACTACACTGTCCAGAGAAAATGACCCCTCTGAAATAACTGGAATTGTGTTTTGAAACTGATATTACAGTGTAAGTACAAATAATCTAATGATTTCATGGTTTGTGAGCCCAGATCTTAGGTCAGGCAGCAGCCTTGGTCTCCTCCTGTGTATCTCCTTCCTCCCTCCTCCACAGTGCTGTGCCAAGCAGACCCTGATGGCAGTGAGGATAAGGCCTGGTAGGGATGTCAAGAGCAAGGAGACCAGACTGGGAAAGATTAACATCAGAACTGGTCTGCCCTGAAGAGGGCAGAGCTGGCAAACACCACCATCTGACTGCTTAGTGGAATTACTCAGGATCGCCTCAAGGAGAGGGTTGTACAGAGTCTCCCATGTTCTTGTTGTGAAAATGCTGGATGCTGGTGAAGAATGTGGAATGCCCAGTAATACTGACCTCAGTATCTCCAGTTTACAGTATGAAATACCTCAGTATCTCCAATTAACAGTATGGAATACCCAGTAATATTGACTTTAGTATCTCCAGCTAAAAGTATGGAACTCTGAAATACTGACCTCAGTATATCCAGCTAACAGTGTAACAGTATCTCCAGGTAACAGTAGTAATAGTGCAAACAGAATAACAAAATAACTCTAACAAAGTAACAAATAACTATAACAGTGTGGACTACCCAGTAATATTGACCTCAGTATCTCCAGTTTACAGTATGCAAAACCCAGTAATACTGTCCTCAGTATCTGCAGTTTACAGTATGGAGTACCCAGTAATACTGACCTCAGTATCCTCAGTTTACAGTGTGGAATACCCAGTAATACTGACCTCAGTATCCCCAGATTACAGTGTGAATCCCCCAGTCCAGCAGAGAGTAGCTTCACTCCTGAATCCTGCAGGTCATTGTCACTCAGTTCCAGCTCTCTCAGGGGTGAAGAGTTTGATCTTAGTGCTGAAGACAACACTTCACAGTGTTTATCTGTGAGATTACAGCTGTTCAGCCTGGAAAAGAAAACATGTTAAGTCACAGACATACATTATACACATTAGTGTTGGGCGGTATACCAGTTCATCTTTTTCATTATTGTTATGATATGATTTTTTTCTTATACCGAAATACCGGTTTAAATAGCCTACACAACGTGGCATAGCTGTTTAAGAGGGGACCTTTTTCACTGCTGCACTGCTAAAAAATATATTGCGAAAGATCTGAAACGGAAGATATAGCTGAAGCTGGAGTTGAAAATAATGAGACACTTGTCAAAAAATTGATTCTCAGATGCTAATCGATACTAAAAATTAGTATATGATTAGATACTCATTTTCACCATTATTGATACCAACAGTACGGTTTTTGCCTCATTTGCCACACTTCACACAGCACCACTACAGTGCAAGCGTGCCTGTACGTACGCACACGCACCCACTCCCGCAGCCCCTCCCCTCCTCTCAATAGACGCATTCACGCTGGTGAACACACACATGCCGAGTTGGCCAAACATGGCATATGCTGCAGTTGAAGGCACTTCGCAAACTGCTTTAGTAAAAAAAAAAGCACGCAAAAGTGCCGTTTGGAAGTATTTTGCAGACGAGCATGGAAAGGCTAAGCCTCTATGCAAACAATGCTACAGAGTTATGGCGAGGAAGTCAAGTAGCACGTCAAACTTGGCGAAGCAACTTATACACCCTGTAGATAAAGAGCCCTCACTGTTTCTATAGCAGGTTAGGATGCTGTGCCTGTGATCAGAAGGCAGACTGGATGGGAACGGAAACGTCACTTTTTTGTTTGTTATTACATCATTACCTTCGGTCATTATAAAATCTGTGGTCCAGATTATTAAAAAAACACCCCAGTTATTAATCCATGAGTATAAATATATAATATATATTACATTTCAAACAATATTAATGTATTACTGCCACACTAGACTTACAGAGCTGTCCTGGATTTCTTGACCACAGGCAGCAGCCTCCAGTGCTCTTCACCTGATCCGTTGTATTTCTTCAGATCAAACACATCCAGCTCCTCATCTGACAACAGTAACACAAAGGCCAGAGCTGACCACTGAGCAGGTGAGAGGTGACGTACTGAAAGTCTTCCAGTATTCAGGTATCCTTGTACTTCCTCTACTAGAGAATTATCACCCAGTTCATTCAGACAGTGAAACAGGTTGATGGTCCTTTCTGGAGATAAATTCTCCTGTATTTTCCACTTCATATATTGGTTTGTTTCCTCAATGTTATGTGACCTGGTTCCTGTCAATCCCAGTAGCCTTTGTAACAATGTCTTACTGGAGTCTGTTGAGAGGCCCAGGAGGAAGCGGAGGTAGAGGTCCAATTGTCCATTCTTGCTCTTTAATGCCTGATCTACTACAGTTTTCAGCAGGTCAGCTGATGAGTTTGATAGAAACACATATAAAGCAGCGAGATACTCCTGGATGCTCAGATGCACAAAGCAGTACACCTTCTCCTGATACAACCCATATTCCTCTTTAAAGACCTCTGTGCACACTCCAGAGTAAACTGAAGCTTCACTGACATCAATGTCATTCTCTGTCAGATCTTGCTCATAAAATATGAGATTGCCTTTCTCAAGGTTTTCAAAAGCCAATTTACCAAGTTTCAAAAGGAATTCCTTGCTGTATTTATTAAGCTTGGTTTCATAGTTTTTCATATACTTGTCATTTTTTAAACTTGCCTGAAAGATCAGGAAGTGTGTGTACATTTGAGTCAGAGTCCTTGGAATTTCTCCCCTGTCAGTCTCACTAAAAAGCCTCTCAAGGACAGTGGCTGAAATCAAGCAGAACACAGGTATGTGGCACATGATGAAGAGGCTCCTTGTTGATTTCACATGTGTGATAATCCTGCTGGCCAGGCTCTGATCACTGAATCTCCTCCTGAAATACTCCTCCTTCTGGGCATCACTGAACCCTCGTATCTCTGTCACCTGGTGGACGCACTCAGGAGGTATCCGATTGGCTGCTGCTGGCCGGGAGGTTATCCAGAGGAGAGCGGATGGAAGCAGATTCCCCTTAATGAGGTTAGTCAACAGTACATCCAGTGACATTTTCTTTGTTACATCAAACCAGTTCTCATTGTTCTGAAAATCTAGTGGAAGGCGACACTCATCCAGACCATCAAAGATGAACAAGTCTTTGAACCTAAACAGCTCAGTGGATTCAATCGATTTCAGTTCTGGGACAAAACAGTGAAGCAGTTCAATCAGACTGTATTCATCCTGAATCAAATTCAGGTCCCGGAAAGGAAGGGCAAATATGAAGTGAACATCCTGGTTTGCTTTTCCTTCTGCCCAGTCTAGAATAAATTTCTGCACTGAGACTGTTTTCCCGATACCTGTCACCCCTTTAGTGAGTACAGTTCTGATAGGTGTCTCACGCCCACATAAGGGTTTAAATATATCATTGCACTTGACCGTGGTATCTTCCGTTCGCTGTTTCTTGGGTGCTGTTTCAATCTGTCTCACTTCATGTTCATCATTGACTCCTCCAGTCCCACCTTCAGTTATGTAGAGTTCTGTGTAAATCTCATTGAGAAGTGTTGGCTGCCCTTCCTTAGCTTTCCCTTCAAATACACACTCACATTTCAGCTTCAAGTTACTTTTGATTCTGTGCTGATATTGCGGCATGAGCTGTCCTGAAAAGAAATGAGAGGAAAATGCAGTAATTCTCACTGTGATTCTTATCAGTATGAGAGGAATATTTTCCAAAAACACACTTTTTTTACACATACAAGTCCAAATATTTCACTGTGACAAACGTGAAATTTAAAGTTTTATCATACGTGTCTTACTGAAACCCCACAGCCAGTACTGTGCAAAAGCCTTAGACAGTCAAAGGATTAAAGCCATTTATCTGGGCAGTAAGTATATATTTGCTCATAAAAAAACAATGCAATTGTAGAACACATTGAGCAACACAATAAAATCATCATAGTCTTATCGATGTGGAAACGAGAAAGCCTTCTTAGACATGAGTGTCTCTGGAGTCCTTTTTTGCACACAACTTTACAGTTTGCTTCAAATTTTAGTTTTGAATCAATAACTGTTCCAAGATATTTATAGGATTGAACACATTCCACCATCTGACCCTTAATGGAAGTGCCCTCCTGTGCATGGGTGCCTGTTCTGAAGTCAATTGACATATCTTTTGTTATAGATATGTTTAATTGAAGGTAGGACTCATCACACCATTTAACAAAGTCATCCAGGACTGGGCCGTGGCTTTCCTCACTTTCCCGGAGCAGACTGACAATAACAGAGTCGTCTGCATACTTTAAAATTGCCCTGTTTTCATACCTGCTCTGACATGTTTGTATACAAGATGAATAATAAGGGTGAAAGCATGTATCCCTGTGGGGAGCCAGTCGAGGTGCAGGACAGGGTCCCATTTATCCGGACTCTTTGAGTCCTGTTTGTCAGGAAGTCAAGAATCCAGCCCCCAAGATTTTTACTAAGCTCAAACTGCTCTAAAAGCCTTCTGACTAAAATATGAGGTTGAAACATGTTAAATGCTGAAGAAAAATCAACAAAGAGTAATCGAGCATGCAAACCTTTCCCCTCCAAATGTTTAACAATCAGGTTCAACAGGGTCACTGTAGCATCTTCCACTCCTCTTCGTGATCGGTAAGCAAACTGCATTGGGTCGAGCACATGCTCAGTTTGCCTCAAAATCTCCGACTTCACCAGTTTTTCAAATTCTTCCATTACAATCAACTGTACATGTATAGAATGATATAAAGCTCTTACTCTTCTCCAGCATGTCAGCGAGATCATTTTGCTTCATGGTCCTCAGGATGTACAGTGTGATCTTCAGAGCTCCCTCTCTACCACAGGTCTTCTGCATCTGACCATCACTGTCCATGTCATTGTCCTCCTCCAGTAGAGGCTCAGTGCATTCTGGGTAATTCTGATCTAGGTACCTCACAAACTTCTTCAGCTCATCCTTTAGGAACTTTACAGCATTTTCCTCTAGTGACTAAAATAAACAGTCACAGGTAATTATTGCTACTTGGACCAAACCTTTTCAAAATTTCACTTGTGAATCATAGTTTTAAACATATTTACTTTAATAAGATGAATTTCTTATTATACAGCTATATAAAATAGAAGCTAATTCACATAACAACCAAGAAAATATAACAGCAACAAATACAAACCTTCAATATGGATGATAAACCCGATTTATCATGTAGATCTGAACTGCATTCTTCCATTTGGTCTCTGTGAATAAGGAAGAAACATAAAGACCTCAATTCATCTACACAAATGTAACAGAAAGACTGAAAAGCTCCCCATTAAAATTGCTGTTACTGCAGATAAAGAATAACCTTGTGATATATTAGTTTGGAAAGATGTAACTGCCATGTTGAGCTTTATTCACTAGTGTGGCTTCGTAATTTTCTCATGACAGCAGAAGAGAACCAATGACATCAGGCTCCACCAGACCAAGACATGGTGATGGCAGCATGCTGTTTTTCAGCTGGAGCGGGGTTTTTGTCAAGGTGGAGGGAATTATGAACAGCTCCAAATGCCAGTCCATTTGGGCCCAAAAAAATGCTGTAATTAAATCAAAAGGTGCTTCAGCGAAGTATTAGTTTAAGGGTGTGCACACTTATGCAACCAGCTTATTGTACATTTTTTACTTTTTAGATTTACCCCCTAACACATTTGTTTGTTTTTGAATTAAATTGTACAGGTTACAGGTCACTTTAAAGGTGGGAAAAGTTCTGAAATGATTTATTGTGGTCTCATTTTTTTACCACAAAAAAACCTGCCATTTTAACAGGGGTGTGTACACTTTTTATCTTGCTATTATAACTGTGTGTTTACCTGGCAAACCAGATCAGTTTTCGGGCAAGAAAATGGACCTGCTCATGCACGAAGTGGAAATGTGCGAGCACATCATTTACGGGAGCACCAATGTTCCACATAAGTCCTCCCCTTTTTGGAAAATGTTCTGGCAAACACTCTCAACCTGGTGTGTTTAAATACTAAATAGTATGTGTCTATTTGCATTTACCTCCTGTATAACGGACTTTAAGGGAGCTGGCAAAACAGTCCGTTATATCCAGAGTTGCTGTATGCCCAGAACACAACTACAGGACACCAGTTACTCATGCCACACCCCAGCAGACACACTTATGGTATACATTATTATATTGTACATGTAGTAATACAACTTTACCTGACCAGAGGCGTGACTTAATAATCCCGACTCCGTATCTTCGCTGGATATCACCGGCACGCCACACGCCTTGTAGGCGGAGCCTGCATGTCCGTTATAGCCGAACAAAACTACAGCTAAAAGCGGCCCTGGGGACCAAATTGTTTGTCCGTTATAAGCGAAATTTCGTTATATGCCAGTCTGCTATATCCGATGCTTTTCTGCATGTTCTTAAAGGAGCACGGCCGGGACCAGCGGACCTCGTCCGTTATAGACGATATTCCATTATAAGCGAGTCCACTATAACGGGATTTTACTGTATTTATACTTCTACTTCAGCATTACTGAAGTTTTTTTCCCTCTTAGTGCCAAGCAGCTCACAGCCTGCGCGTCTCTTCGCCATTCCTTACACTCGGCCCTACAGTCTCATTCCCTTTTATGGGAAATTGCAGGGCATTTCCCTATGCTAATTAGGACAAACTGGCACGCGCTTTCAGTTACGAAGACGTGGGATTCATCATTCTTAAGCGAACAATTCTGCTACTTAAGAACACGTCATGAATCCAACGTAGGTTGTTCTTAACAAATTTCGTAGGAACAAATTTAAGAGAATTCTTAAGAAAATATTAGTAAATGAGGCCCAATGTCCCCATAACGTGATGAATACCTGCTTTTTTTTACCTTATGGGAACCAGTGTCCATAGAAATTTATGAGCGATCCCTATAAGAATATGTTTACCCAACATGTGTGTGTATTTATGTGTGTATGTGTGTGCGTGTGTGTGTGTGCACGTGCGTGTGTACGTGTTTGCATATTACCATACCATACCGTATTACCAGGACCAGTTGTACTGCATAATAAGGACCAGTTGTACTGTATAAAAAAACGTATATAATTGAAATAAAACAACAAAAAAACATCAGTGCACTTCCAGCACGTACCTGTGCCCCTAAGGAGCGTCATGCACTGGCACATTTCTGAAATGCGCCACTTAAATACAGTTTAATAATGCGCCACTGACTTTAGACGTGGATTTTGCTGATCAAAAGTACATCATTTAGTTTGCCTTAAAAATACCAACACGCCGACAATGGGCCCAGCCACCTCCTTCGGCTGTTTCTCCTTTCCCTGTTACCAGTTCGATTTCTAGAAGGCGATCTCCCCAACCTGGTTGAGAGATCTTCATGGTGTGCGTTGAGCTCGAGCGTTCATCCTGCTTTCTGCTACCGATTGCCCGTGTACCGACCATTGCTTTGTGTTCCAGATTCCAAGCCTTGCCCATTCCCAGTGCTGCTGAGGACGTCGATCGCCTGACCCACACACATTTACCTTTGATCTGTAGGAGAAGGTCCCTCTCTGAAGGTGAGTGGATGTCCCATTGACCAGTCACTCTTCAGGGAAACACAGCTGGGTACAGGGGAGTCTGCTCTCTCCATCAGGACACTGTGGGCAGCGAGAGGAAACAAACCCTCATGGTATAAATATAATTCATACAATGGGGACGGCATCACACTGCTCTTTAGCCTTCTGCTCTGCCTTCATGTACTTTGGTATGCTGGGAAGCTCGATGTAAACAGGCTCATTTACAGTCAGATATAAGGTGAAATAAATTGTCTCACGTGGAATTTAGAGTCCTATATGAAAGGTAAGGTATTTTTAAAATATCCATCATTAGACTTGGCTGTTGCTATTTTTTTCCCATCCATCCATCCTCTTTAACTCCTTATCCTATTTAGGGTCACGGGAGATCCGGAGAAACCCAGGATGGGTCACCAACCCATCCCAGGGCACACTCACACCTACAGGCAATTTGGTAACTCAAATTAACCTCAGCATGTTTTTAGACTGTGGGGGAAACCTGGAGTATCCAGAGGAAACCCCATAATGACACAGGGGGAACATGCAAATTCCACACACATAGAGCTATGGAGGAGACTCAAACCCAGGTCCCAGAGGCGTGAGGCAATAGTGCTAACCACTGCACCACCATGCATTTCTCCTGTTTATATTTTTATTTGTTACGTGGCCATTTTGGATAGGAGGGATGATCTGTTGCTTGCCTCTAGTATAAAAGAATTGGCTGATTGTGGAAGAAAAAGGAGAAGAAAGAAGATGCAAGGTCTTTTTAACATACCCCACAGGGGGGCTCATTTCATGATTTGCACTATAAATGGTGGCACTCGGAGCCACTAGTGCTCTGGCCCCACCTGCCCGGTTCATAACCCAGCCAAGGCTCCAGGGGGCGCTATCTTGGTGCACCTTCAGCCACTGACTCATTCCCCCACTGTGAGCTAAGAAGTGCTACTGGGGACCTTTACTGCCTGCTGCCATTAGACACCACAATGCCTACTGTCAAAGTGCAGCTCCCACAGCCAGCATTAATGTCTGATTTTTAATGTGGTAAATGGTACCATTGCTTTGTGTTCCAGATTCCAAGCCTTGCCCATTCCCAGTACTGCTGAGGACGTCGGTCGCCCGACTCACACACATTTACCTTTGATCTGTAGGAATAGGTCCCTCTCTGAAGGCAAATGGGGGCTCCATTGACCAGTCACTCTTCAGGGAAACACAGCTGGGTACAGGGGAGTCTGCTCTCTTCACCAGGACACTGTGGGCAGCGAGAGGAAACAAACCCTCATGGTATAAATATAATTCATACAATGGGGACGGCATCACATTGCTGTTTAGCTTCTGCTCTGCCTTCATGTACTTTGGTATGCTGGGAAGCTCTTGATGTAAACAGACTAGTTTACAGTTAACTTTATTTTGAAATAAATTGTCTCACCTATAATTAAATTATAGTAGGAAAG